GCGGAGCTCCGATCGGGGGATGCGCATGGCATCGAGGGTGTTGATGTACAGGATGTTGAGGCCGCTGGACCTGACGAGCGTGACCCCGGGCGCCACCCACCAGGCTATGCGCATGGGGCGCAACGTGCCGCACCGAGTGTGCTGGCGTAGGCGGCGGCTGGTTCCGCCGTTGTCGCAATTCCTCGACGTGCGCTTGCGCAGACGCAAGGGCCTCCGCACGCGGGTCTGGAGGGGTGTGAGTTTGCGCAGACTCCACGACCACTGGCGGCTGTCCTGGACCGTCCGCCATAGCGCACTCCCGGGACGGACGGTGGCGGGGCGCCACATCACCGATGCTGGAACCGTCGCTCTCGCCCTCGTTGTCCGGGAGTTCGTGGGAAATGATAGGAGCGAAGCCTGCCATTCCTACGAATTCGGACGTGAGTGGGGATGGTGCCAGCGCCCTTCGGAGCCCCCGAGCGTAAGCATCCGCGGAGGACGTGAGGCCATAGGGGAACCGATCATACGGTGTTTGTGGTGTGGTCCCTCTGGGTGATCGGTGGGAGATAGTAAATAAAGGGCGAATAAAAGTACGCGTATTACTTACAGTGGGGTTTAAGCAGAGAGTTTGCTCGGAATGAAGCGCAAATGCCGTGTCGTCAAAGTCGCGCGTCCTGGAGTCAATGGAGGACGTCCCTCCGACGGGTGCCGGGTCGCGAGCCTCCTCGCGAAGGTGTAGTACGCCGAGTCAGTCGGCGACGAAGTCTAGGCTTCCGAAGAGGAAGGTCTAGGATGGCTCAAAAATGGGTGGAACCCGCATCCCCGCAGGCGAGAGTGTGGGATACTCCAGCGAGCCAAAGCGAATCGTATCGCCCGAGCCCGCCACGGTGGGGGTGGTGGAAAAATGGGCCATCCGATGACCAAAAAGTGTTGAACGTACAACGTCTTCCCCACGGACGGCGCCAACTGTCGGTACAAAAAGTGATCAACTAGTGAATATTTGTAGTTTTGTTGTACGTTGTGATCGGAGGTGGCCTAGCACTCAATGACACAGGATTTATACTGGTTTAGGCAACGTGCCCTACGTCCAGTTTGGGTCGGTCGGTGACTTTATTCCTGAGCCTAGGTGCTCAAAGTCTGCAGTGGGGTTACAAACGAGAAGGAGAAAGATGGGGGGGTACCAGAGGCCCGGTCGGACTCCGATCGGAAGGGCCGAGAGCGACGGGAACTCCGCTATGAGCTAAGTGTTCAAGCGTGTGCTTGAGGTCCGAACCTGGCAGTTTTGTGATTGTGAGCTATTGGACTAATGAATCTGAAGGAACTGAGCTTGAATGAATCGATCCGGGGGGAGTGCATCCCCTTTTATAGATAAAGGGGGTGGCTTTACAGGTGAGAGGGAGAGGGTACGGATGCTTTTAAGCCTTGTTGCCCACGCCGATGAGGATTGGATAATGGTAGGCGCACAAACACTGTTGATGTCACTGTAAAATGACAGGTGCACGTGGGAGGTTGCGGTGTCTTCTTCAGGAAGGGTTGACGTCGGTACCTATAAAATACTGCTTGCCCAGAGGCATGCGAAGAGTCTCATCACGTTTACCGGGTATGACGAATCCCGTCGCCTACAACACTATTGATGCCCAGAGGCATGTGAGGGGCTTTCTGCCGTACGGGAGTCCAACGGCGCCTACAATACTGTAGGGATAAATGTCGACGCCTACAATACTGTTTGTGTCAGGGTGGTTGTGGAACACTGTTCCCGCATGTGTATAGGGTATGGTCCCTGTACCATGGTTTGACTCGCGTGCTGCTTTCTCCATTCGTCCCTGGTCCCTTCCGAGCGGGCGTCCCCGGTCGGATGGCCCCAGTCGGCTTCGGTTGTGCCGGTCGGAGAAGAGCGGCGAGCAGGGTTCTTACGTACCCCGGTCGGAGAGACGCGGGGTCGGAGTCAGAAGTAGGGCTCGGAGCAGGCCTTCCGATCGGAGAGGCCGTCTGGAGGCGGCTGGAGCCCGAATCGAGCGCTCCGGTCGGATAGGTGGGCCGAAGTAGCTGACGAGCGGGCGTTGCTCTTCTTGGGCCAGGCCTTCTGGTCGGTTGCTGGACCGCCCCTTTGCCCTGTTGTTTTTAGACTCTCGGGTCGAGCTTTGGCGTGGAAGCCGGTCCTCGAGGGACCCCGGGTTTATGAACCCAACACATGTATTTTGAAATCCAAACTTTGTTATCTTTGACCAGCAAATGACAAGTTTATTCTGCAAAAATGGTTACATTGGAACTGTATTTACAAGTATTTTTTACTAATTAAACTTTTGTTGCCATAAATTATATATTATAAGAGAAATTAGTGGTTAAAATGTGTTCTTGAAAACTGCAACAAGTTAAATTGCACCTTATATTTTGAGACGGATGGAGTACAACTCAACTTGTATGCTGGAAAAATAAAAATAAAAAAGGTAGAATCCCTTGGGTAACTTCATTAGTTTGGAGAGTAGATCAAGCCTAATTTTTTTTAGGGCCAGCATGGAAAAAGTGGATTATTTTTTTTAGAGGGGAAAAGGTGGATTATTGGAGCTAGGAAAACAAATTTCAACCTTCAATAAATAAAACTGGTGAGTCCTGAAGTATTTAAAAAAACAAATACATACCTATATGATTTTCATGTTCCAAACTGAATATTTGAAATCAATATTAATAGTCAATCAAAACTATAAAAAAAATTGATTAGGTGTTCTATCGCAACTGCATGTAACTGCAGGGCCGACCGAGTTGTAGCGTCTCGCCGCGCCAGGCGCTCGTGCTGCCTACGCGCTGAATTGGTTACCAGTTCCCTCCTTGCAAGAGTATGCGACTCAGCCTAATCATCTCATGAGAATTCAGAAGTCTCGTCAACCTTAACACAAGGACAAAGTTCCCATCCCCAGAAAAAGAAGAGGCAGCGTAGGACAAAACGTGTCTGATTGTAATTTTGTGTGTGTGTGTATATATATATATATATATATATATATATATATATATATATATATATATATATATATATATATATATATATATATATATATATATATATATATATATATATACACGCGCACACGCTATCATGTACAGTACATGTTCCTACAAGGTCACAGCACATTTGTACACTCGCGATTGCGGCGGTATATCTGCGCAGTGATTTTGCAAACATGTGATCTACTCCGTTAAACTATCGGAAATGCTAGGGTCAGGGCGCGACGCCCTCGTTGCCGTGGGCGGCGACATTACGAACGGTCCAACTATCCCAGATGTCTCCTTCAATCGGTTGTTTAATAAAAAAAAAGTTCAGCTGTCTTCTTCACTCATGGATCTCCATAAACATCATTCCCCAATCCCCACTCACCGTTGAATTACAATTCCGCGCTCCACGCTCTCCTGCGACGCTCTCGACCGCCGACTGGCCGGCCGCTATCCTCCATCTCCACCTCACCTGAGCGCCGCCGGCCGCCTTCCTCCCTCTGCATCGCAGTGCACCGACCATCGTGTGGCTTTAGTTCGTCGCGCCCGCCCGACCACTTCTGTCCCTCTCCGATGGCACCTCGGCTCAGGAGCGGTGACTAATCGGCCTCCGCCTCTCTTCCTCTCCACAAACCTCGCCCACATCCTCCCTCGATGACGACATCCAGCAATGCGAATGAGATTGGGAAGGGGCAGCGCTGGTGGTGCCGTCGTGCGCCTCAGGTTTGTCCCCATCGAGCCCAAGGGCACCCACGAAAGCGCGGCCCATGCTGGTGGTGCTCGCACGCTGCTGCTCGACGCTAGCTCCCACTCCGAGGCCGGAATCAACCGGCCCTAGCCTCTCCCTCCCCCTATATTTTAAATGTATATTTTAAGTGTTTCAAATATTATCAGATGTATGTTGCAAGTGTTTCATATGGATGTTGTAAAAGTAGATCGGGATGTTGCATATGTTACAAGTGTTTCAGAGGCATGTTGCAAATGTCTCAGAAGCATGTTGTAAGCGTTTGTTCAAAATGTTTCATCTATTTTAGACATATGTTGCAAGCATTTTTATCTGGATGTTTCACATGTTTCACACATATGTTACAAGAGTATGTTCGAAATGTTTCAGTCTTATGTTGCAATAAGTGTTTTTGATGTTGCATATGTTTTACATGTATGTTGCAAGTGTATGTTCCAAATGTTTTATCTGTTTCAGACTTATGTTGCATTCAAGTGTTTCACGTTGCAAGTGTTTCGTATTTTAGAGGTATGTTTAGAGAGTCATGGGGCACGGTCCGAGCGCTGGAGGAAGGACCGTGGCGAGCCGAGGGCCGGCAAATGGGGCGCACAACGCGCCTAGGGTCCTGCAGACGTGGCGTGCTCGTCCTCATCTGGGTTCATGGGTCCCGCTTGCACAGAGAGAGGAAGGGGTCAAGGGGAAGGAGTGACGGAAACAGCCGAAGTGCGCATGCGGGGCAAGACGAGGCGGACGGGAGCGGGGTACACGTGCTGCTGGGTTGGGCAAGGTAGACTGGGGACGAACGTGCATCAGTGATACAGCGCAGCGGCAGGCGCAGACGGGCTGAGGCAGCAGTATATGCGGGGCGTCTAGACGGGTTCATCTGCTCCCGACGATCCGGACGCTAGTAATTCCCTTAAACTATATATATTCGAGTATTCGTTCGGCCTGTTCGCTGGTTGGTTTCTGGGTTGATTTGGAATGACTAGTTTATCGTGAGAGAAAAACACTATTGACTGACTGGTTTGGGCTGGCTAAAACTAACAAGCAAATAAGCTAATACACTGGTTAAGAAAAACTGGTGACCAATTTTATCCGTTGCCCAGCAAGCCGGCTAGACGGCTCAGTAAAAAAAGTCTCTGGTTGCCAATAGCGCGTCCGGAAGAAGCGATGGCGAGGAGCGACTACGCGCGATTCGCTTGCTATCCCGCTCTGAGGAGCCGTCACTAAAAACCCACGACTCCATCGCAACTGCCAACGCAAGCAGCAGCAGCGACCGCGGAGGGTGGAGACGCTCTCTCGCCAATCGCCCATGGCCACGGGCACCGGCCGACCGTGGTGGGCGCCGCCGACGCCGCCATCCGCGGCGGCTCCCTCCGCCCCGCGGTTCCCCTCCCCGCCGTCGTCGTTCACGGCCGACCCGCCGGCGGAGTTCCTCTGCCCGATCTCCGGCACGCTGATGGCGGACCCAGTCGTCGCGCCGCCGGGCCAGACCTTCGAGCGCGCCTGCATCCAGGCCTGCGCCGCGCTCGCCTTCTCCCCGCCCGCCGTCGCCGCCGACCTCTCCGAGTCCCACTCCTCCTCCTCCTCCCCGCTCGTGCTCGTCCCCAACGTCGCGCTCCGCACCGCCATCCTCAACTGGTGCGACCGCCTCGCGCTCCCGCACCCGGAGCCGCTGTCGCCGGACACCGCCCATGACATCGTGCGCCGCCTCATGCCGCCGCCGCAGCGGCAGGAGCAGCAGCAGCGCCCGCAGACGCAGGTCGCCTCGTCGGTTCGGGTGAGGAGACCCAGCGTCGTCGACGGCGGCTCCGCGCAGGTGCAGGTGCAGGAGCCGAGCTCCAGGCAGAGGGGTGACGCTCTGGAGGAGGAGATCATGGCCGCGCTCGGGACGGAGGGCGCCACCCCCGCGGAGCAGGCGTCGGCGATGGCCTTGCTGCGGCAGGCGACGCGGGAGAACCAGGAGGTGAGGCGGCAGCTCTGCACGCCGCGCCTCCTCGCCGCGCTGCGCCCCATGCTGCTGTCGCCCGACGCCGACGTCCAGGTCAACGCGGCGGCGGCAGTGGTCAACCTGTCGCTGGAGCCCGAGAACAAGGTGCGGATCGTGCGGTCCGGGGCGGTGTCGCCGCTCGTGGACGTGCTCCGCGGCGGACACCCGGAGGCGCGCGACCACGCCGCGGGCGCCATGTACAGCCTCGCCGTGGAGGACGAGAACCGCGCCGCCATCGGCGTGCTCGGCGCCATCCCGCCGCTGCTGGAGCTGTTCGCGGGCGCCGCCGGCGCCGCCGGCCACCGCGCGCGGCGAGAGGCCGGGATGGCGCTCTACCACGTATCCCTCTCCGGGATGAACCGGTCCAAGATCGCGCGCGCACCTAGCGCAGTGCGGACGCTGCTGGCTGCGGCGGAGGCGCGGGACCGCTCGAGCGAGGGCGACGCCGCCGCGCTCCGGAGGCTGGCCGTCATGGTCCTGGCCAACCTCGCGGGCTGCCCCGACGGGCGCGCCGCGCTGATGGACGGCGGCGCCGTGGCCGCGGTCGTCAGGCTGATGCGCAACGGCTCCGTGGCTCCCGGGAGCGCCGAGCAGGAGTATTGCATATCGATGCTGTACGGAATGAGCCGGGGCAGCATGAGGTTCCGCGGGCTCGCGCGCGCCGCGGGGGTCGAGGCCGCGCTGCAGCCGGTGGCCGAGGGCGACGGCGGCGTGGGGCGAGACCTGGCGCGGCGCACGCTGCGGGCTATGCGCGGCGAGGACGACGAGGGACCTGTCACGGCCACCGGACTACTCGGACGGCAGTGGGACGACGGCAGCGTCGTGTCGGAGGGGCTTGTCTCCATCCGGCGACCACCGCACCGGAGCAATTACGCCGGGCCGTCCGGGTCAAACACAACCCAGTTCTGAATGAAAAAAACAAAGTCAAAGTCTTCCTTACCTGCACGCTGTTGTGCCGTCTCGATTCAAGTCTTTGGAACTGTATTTGGGTACCATATAGCAGAAAAATACTGCAAGGTCCTTCTTGTATTGTATAAACTGTAAGGTTGATTCTTTTGTTTGAATTGAAATGTAACTTTATTGGATTTTGCAGTGTTTTTTGGTTGAATTACTAAAACTGTAATTGGGATCAGAGAAAAGGAATTGTTCTGGGTTTGTGATATTAATATCAAGTTGACCATATGCAAATTTAACCCTTATTTGGAACACGACTACACGAGAACTTTCTTGATTCAAGCAGCAACCTGCTCGCTGCAGCTGTAGCTGTTTCTAGTGTTATCTACAGTGCACGCTAGTTCTATTCTTGCAGTCACAGCCAACAACTGCTTCCTATGAGACCTATGTTCCACTGCTTTTTGTGGTTCACAGATGCTGAAGGACCTTTACAGACGTGAATAGTGCAGCTGGGTGTCAGGAACAAATATAATCTTGGCAGGACATTTTGCATTGACAACGGTCTGTTACGACTCAGAAAGGCTCAATGATTAAGTTGATTCCATCACTTGCAAAGTTGAAATATTGATCTATAGGCCATGACCTCACCAGATCTGAAGTCAACTCTTGCTATGTTTCCACTAGTAGAGACAACAAAATTTCCTTGCTTGCATGAAAATATATAGAAGCACAAGGACAGCGTTACAATATGTGCATCAATACGTTATGACCATGGAAAAGACCCATCCTGTCGAGTCCAATGCCATTTGATTACTCAGATCTTGGAAGCTGTAAGCTGCAGATCAGTAATGCATAGCGCACACAATGGCACAAAGACTTCTTTTTTTTTTGTCAAGTAATTGCTCACGAAGATGTGATGAACAACAATATCAACAACTATAACACTAAAAGTTTATTCCGTTACAATATGTGCAATATGTATTTCATTTGTAAGAAGAGCATACACAGATGAGATATTGATCAATGAAGCATTCTTCGCTTACGAGGACATCACTGAGCCCTGATTCCTGAATAAATTGAAAGCATGTGTCAAATAAAATGGTTCTGCAGCAATGCAGAACTACGAATTGACAAAAAAAAATCTCTCTTTGTATATAGGAGATGCACAGTATAGGCTCAGATTTTAAGTTTTTTGCATGCTCACCTTCCGAATTCAAGGTATTGGGAGGGGGATATCGGTTTAGGACCTCCAAACCAATCAATCAAGAATATGTTTTCGATTTCCAATTTGAAGATTTTGAAATGATGATTCTTTGGCCAATCTATCAAGCAATAACATATGGTTATTTAGATAACAGATGGTAGATAACCTCTCTGCATACTGCATGTTAGAAGTATGAATTTACCCTTCATTTCAGGATGTTTGGTGAAAAGTGCTAACTTGGCCAAATCTGCTTCAGATGACTCAAGGTCAACCATCTTCAACTGCAAAAATAGCAAATGCCACTTCATATAACAACTTCTTATATGAGAGAGAAAAAAAGAGTACAGCATGGTGACATCCACAATACAGAATAGTTTGTAAATCATGTGTTATATTCAACCTATGTCCATTGTGGGAGAGGACTAAAAGAAGGGATTTCATCCTCTGCTGAATGGTACTTTATTAAATCTCACATGTTATGACAAAAATTTACTCTTTTTTAGTATTTCGTCATAAGAAATAATTTAAGAGGACACAGCCTCAAATACATGTTGATTGTCATGATTGCGGAAGGTGATACCACCGAGTTCTTGTGACAACTATAATTTATAAGAGTTTGCTACTTCCATGTGGTTGAGAAGAGATTTCCCTTCTTTTTGTTGGAAACTTCATGATCCGGTCAAAAAGTTTAATTATGAGAAATACAAAAGGCATTACCATTACTAACATGAAATGGGAACACATATGCATCTGTAAGTATACAACTCATAGCCCAAATAGTGACAAGTTCAAGCCCATCAACAAGTATTCATTTTATAGAAACATCAGTTGTGAAGTTTATAGGTAGAAAACCAGTTCAAGCCCAAATAGATCATTGTCAGTTAAATGATTCAAGCACAACTAAACAAACAGGCTAAATGGATATAAACAGCAAGTCAATGATCATCTTATCATGGCTGTAATTTTTTTAGTACCTTTCCATTAAGAGTAAGTTTTGCACAAGTGGGGTTTTCAGGATCTATTTTCCCACATGTCCCCAGAGGGAACTCACTAAGGGTAAAGGAGGTCCTTTCATCCTCCAGTGCATCTCTTGCAGTAGGATCCAGAGTTGTCAGATAAAAGTAGGGGATTCCACGGCCCTCGCCTGGGACTCCATCACTATATGAAACTACATTGCTATATATAAAAGAAGCAATGAATCAAGTTCACCAGTCAGAAAAGAGTATATGCCAGCTGTTTGCAGCAGTGAGACAAGAAGGAATACCCAAATGGAGCTCCACTTAAGTCACTTGATATTGTGCTGCAAATGAAATATTGAAGTATTGATCAGTAACCAACCAAACAGAAATTGATCTACAATAACCTGAGAAACACTGGCGGAGGCAGGGGGGGGCAGTAGGGGCCATGGCCCCATCCAACGTTTGCTGCAAAAGAAAAAAAATACTAATGTGCATATGGCCCAATGCCCAAGCCCATGTACGTAGAGACTACAGACTAGAGAGAGCCGAACCGTCGGGCGTCGGTAGTCTGACCGTCCTAGGGTGATCACGATCCTGCGTTCCTGCTGCAGTGCCGCCGGCGCCGCCACACACGCTCCGTCCTCCGCACTTCCGTCCAGCGTCCAGGTCCAGCCTCTCTGATCGTCCCTGAGGTAGAGTGCAGACTGCAGTCTTCCTGTTCCTGTGTGTTCCTGTCTGCAGGCTGCAGCACGTCCAGGCAGCAGGTTGCAGCCATCATCATCCGTTCAGGTGTTCAGGACTTCAGTCTTCAGGTATATTCTATTAATTTTTTTCGTGTCCATCGGTTTAGAGCTAATGCCTAATTAGCTAATTAAACTATTTTTTTTAATTGATGGATAATCATCATGAAACTTAAAAGGACGACAATTGACTTATTGAAAAGGAGATTGCAACGGAGTTTACAACCGATGAACTTATTGATGACTTCGATGCGATTCAAATGCGCAGAGCAAAATTTAAATGAAACATTTAGTTCCTTTAACCATTTATGATTTATGCTTATATTTTCCATCATCTCAAAAATGTCACTACATGCATAATTAGTTATTTAATAGAGATTTTGGTATTTCAATATATGATCGAACTCTATATATATATTGGAATTTATACTATACTATACTATACTATATGTATTTGATTGTCCGGCCCCCGCTATATAATATTCCTGGCTCTGCCACTGCTGAGAAAGGAACAGAATTGAACATATTTACTGAATTTAATTGGGCAATTCACTGGTAATATGTTCACTAACAAACTGGACTTATTGACATGATGCCTCATGAATACAGTGTACTTTTAAGTCCTGAATTATGAGTTTGTCTCTGCACAGTTCGCATATCAGGGTGGTGACTTCTCCCAAATCAGTCTTAAATTTTGGGCATGTATCATTGGCGGAGTCAATTTGGGTGCGGTGTGCCCAGGCACAACCAAAATGCCACGACATCAGCAGGAAGTAGTTCCATATTTTCATATTAGTTGGGAGCAGTTCTTTATTTCGACATTCAGGCAACTATACCACCAGCCCATTAGCAGGTGGAGGTCTCTCGTCTTGGGAGACTAAAATCATGTGACAGTGCATAAGGCCAAACTGTAATTTTCCTTAGACCTTAGTCTTTTTACTCTCATGTTCATTCAAAGTCATGGGAGACTAAAATCATGTAACATTTAAGCTATGTATTAGTATTATACGGTTGAACTTGTATATGCATGAGCATGAATTCTATTTTACCCCTTCAGTAATGAATTGGTTGAGTGTGGTTTGTTCGACCCTTGTGCTTTGTGCGCACCCATAGCTAAATTTCTAGCTCCACTACTGGCATCTACACAACGCCCCAAACTACAAAAGCAAGCGGTTCGTATGCAATCACAAAAACTTCTGGAGGCTACGAAGCCTCAAGCAATTTGTAGCCACTCTCAGCACTTACCTCCACTAGATAACAACATCGATTCCAAACTCGAAAGCGACAATTTTCTACTGACGCCGGCAGTTGCCCGATACGATCGAACCAACAAGTGCTGCTACCCCCCTAAGAACTTAAGAAGGACACCCGTTGCTAAGGAACTAGCTCCGGCACCAAATCGTGGTGGCAAGAGCACGGGAAGAAGGGTTTCGGGATGAACTGGAGGGAACCTGAGGACACCCCACGTGTTCTGGGCGGCGAGCCACCTCGCGGTGGCGGTGGCCTCGGAGGGGGAGGGCTTGCCAGCGAAGATCGGTCGGGCAGCAGCGGCAGGCGCCGATGACCGGACGACGATGAGGAAGGCGGCGGCGAAGGCGAGGTGAGCAGGGGAAAGCATGGCGATTTCTTGGTTTGGCTGTCAGCTACAGAGCTAGCTAATCGTTCTGGTGTGGGAGTCGATCGGTGCCTCGGTATTTTGTAGCGAATTTTCCTCTATGCTAGATGTGGATAGGGTCGGAGGAGCCGGGCGCAATCACAAGGTTAAAATGGGATTGAGGATAGTTCAGGCTTACTGTGATTATTATGACAATTAAACCGAAGAAACGACCGTACTGATAGAGACCGAGCCGACAACTAATTCGGTAATCGGATTTAACTAACCAAAACTATTTCAGGTAATCCGGTCTTAGGCATCGGATATCTTAAGTAACTGAATAATCGAAATAGTCGTTATTTGTTTTGAATTATTGTTTATAAGTATTGTGTTTGAACCTTCAACGATTGAATGGTTATGTTTAATTGTAACAACTATATTGGTACTTTGTGTTATATGTCATTTACATTTATCTTGTGATATTTTTAATGTTAAGACATGCTTTGAGATAGAAAATTGGTGGCAAAATTTACTGTCAAAACATATCCTAAAACTATCATGTTAGTTCGGTCTAGACACAAAATCAAACCAAAATAACCAAAATGAATTACTCGATTTTCAGTATTATTTTGCAATATATTTTGGTCTTCATTTTATATGACAGAAACCTTAGAAAACCAAAAGACTGAACATAATTCTTCATGACCAAACACCCATGGGCTTCGAAGAGATACAATACCTAGAGCATCTCCGTCAAATTGACTAAAAGAGATCATCTTTCCCTATATCTAGTGATAAAGGAGATTTGGCGAAAAAATAACCTCCAGATCCTCTTCTTTTTTTTTCTCGATTGAGAAAAACAACCCCTCAACCCCTTAAAAAAGGGAGAGAAACTTGTCATCTTTTCATTTTCACGTTGCACCGGGTGGCCGAGAGAGAAAGGGAGAGGAAAGAGATAAGGGAAAGAAGAAAGAATATTTTTGAGCATTTATATTCGAATCTCATATAATAAAGAGGAAGAGTTTTCTCAATCTGCTGTAGCTTCTACCAACCCTCCCCAATGACCTAGAATTCTGTTTTCTCAATCACTTATAGCAATTTATAAGAGAAAGAGGAAAAATAATTTAACAAAGGTGCTCTTAGTTTTAATTTTATATGTGAGTAGATTAAGTGCTATTTTAAAAAGAGGATAAAATATACTTTTCCTTTAGTTACAAAAGTAGAACATTGGTTTATACTCCCTTTATTCCAAATTATAAGTCGCTTTGACTTTTTTGGTTCATCTATTTTGCTATGTATCTAGACATATTATTTATCTAGATGCATAGCAAAATGGATGTATAAAAAAAAATCAAAGTGACTTATAATTTGGAACGGAGGGAGTAGGATTTAAAAAACCAAATCGTGATTACTTTTCTTATGTGAAAACAAGAAGAGAAAAAATAAAAGGAGAAAAAAAAACAAGAAAACTCCCAGCTCCTCCCAAAAATAATACAATTCTAAGTGTATTCTTAATTAAGTTGCCTAAAGTTTAACTAAATATATAGATAAAAATATTAATATTTATAACGTCAAATAAGTATGAAAGTAATCTAATAGTATTTATTTAGTAGGATAAATATTATTAATTTTATATAATTTTTTTGACGGATAATTTTATATAAATTTAGTCACATTTGATATACTTTACTTAACACATAGTACTATTTTAGAATTGTATTTTCTTACCGGAGGGAGTACGTGGATTCTGAGTCCGAGGGACAACGGCTGCGGTTGGCTCCGAGCAAATGTCTGCTACGTTGGATTGAGGGAATGGGATGTTCCGGAGCCGGCTGCTGCTAACGGTGGAAAAAGTTTTATTTGTTTTTAATAAAATTATTGAAAACAGTTAAAGAAAAATAATTTGCTTCTATTCTTTGTTTTAAAGTTGAAATTATCATAAATTTCAAAACGTGATTTATTAGGAATGGTTAGAGATGCTTTTATATATGTAGCAATTTTTATGGGCCTTACTTGCGTCTAGACGACCGAACGGACATCCGTGTCTGGACGCCGGTGCCTGCTGCATCATTCACGCGCGTCCACGCGCAAGTAGGAGCCCGTGCCTCCCTGTTCGGACACCTGAGCCCCATCTCACTTCTTGTATGCACCCCCTCCGCTTTCGGCACGCACATGTCGCGCGAGGACTGCCTGCGGCCTCCCCATCCGCTTTCGGCGTAACTTTCTTGTGCTGCCCTGAACGTCACCATGAATAAGCTTTAAATGTGGGTTTTGGTGATAATGACTACACAATTAGAGAACTAATGAGATTTATCGGGATGACAAGCAGAGAATATATATTTGAGGATGCTACGCGAAACGGAGAAGCCCCCAATTACAAATATAGATGGCTTCAAACTCAAATTAAGTTTAAGATTCTTTTATATCTTGAATTTGAGTATAGGAAAAGCCGTACTATAAAGGGGGACACAATGCTTAAGCTAATATGTGCTACCAAGTGCTTAAACAACCACAATCATCCTCAGATTCATAGTCAAGACAGTCTACACTTCACTATTATCCTTGCTGTCTTGCGTGGTGTGAGCTCCGACTCGTCCGACCCCTTGGGCGCGGGCTCCGGTTCGCCCGACCCTTTGATCGCGGGCTCCGTCTCGCCCGACCCCAAGGTCGCGGGCTCTGGCTTGCCCGACTCTTTGGTGACGGGCTCCGTCTCGCCCGACCCCAAGGTCGCAGGCTCTGGCTCGCCCGACCCTTTGGTCGCGGGCCTCGTCTCACCCGACCTCTTGGGTGAAGTGTCCATTGAGGGTTGGGGGTATATATATCTTTACTCTTCTTTCCCAACGGCTATCTGCGACTTAAGTGACCATTGGAGGCTAGGGGTATATATATATTTCCCTTTCCTTCCCAACGGTAACCTACTCTCTTCTTTCTCACTTCAGCACTCCTAAAACAGAGCAGGAGCTTTCTCTCTCTCACTCTATTATTGACCTACAGCCCCTAAGCAATTCCATTGATTTCTCCATCAATCCTTGAGGAAAAAGGGTCCACAACTTGATTAGAGAGCAACTCAATTAATTTCCAAACTCTAAAGAGAACTTGGTTTATGTTTTAGCCGACGGTTGTGTTTGTTACTCTTGGAGCTTGGCTCCTAGCCGGCTAGAGCATCGCCCGTGGAGCTTGTCAACTTGTGTGGCAGCCTTGCGAGGTCTGTAACCATCTCTTGAAGCTAGTAAACTCACCCCTCATATCAAGAGTTAAGTCTTTTGACTTGAGAACGAGGAAGGACTGGAAAGATCTAAGCCTTAGTGGCTAACCTCAACAACGTGGAGGTAGGCAAGCCTTGGTGGCGAGCCGAACGACGAGATACATCATTGTGTCACTTGTGCTTGATTTACATTACTTGCTTAACATATTGTTGTTGAGGTGATTTCTAGAGTTTGAGGCTGATCTACTTGTGTGTGGTGTTCCCACCACCTTCAGCTGTCAATCTGTGATCTACTGCCCTGTAAGAAGCTAAGAAATTTACCCTATCTAAATTTTCGCTGGGTAGATTTTGAACTGTGAACTAATCTCTCCTGTAGGTGTGGCAGTGCAGCGCTCACAGAGCGGCTGTGCCGCGGGTGAATTTGACTTTGTTTTGAGTTAAATTTTTATAGGCCTATTCAACCCCCTTCTAGGCATACCAGAGATCCTACAAGTGGTATCGGAGCGGGTTACCTCTTATGCGCTTCACCGCGTGAGGTATGGAGCCCGGGGGAGGATCCGGTGTTGTGAAGCCCGTCAACGTCGATCCGAAGGAAGTTAGGTTGCATGACACCGACAGCAGCGAGCTTAGCGCCTCTACAACAAGCAACTCCACGCTCCCGCAGCTAGAGGCGACCGATGCCGAAAAAGCTCAAAATGAAGAAGAAAGAAGAAAGAAGAAAGAAGAAAGAAGAAGAAGGGCAGCTAGAAAAGAGAAAAGAGAAGCAAGAGAAAAAAAGAATAAGGAGCAGCAGTGGTTAGAAGAGAAGAAAGCAAGAAAAGAAGAAAGAAGACTCAAGAGAGAAGCTAGAAGAAAAAGAAGAGAAGCAAGAAAGAAGAAGGAATAAGAAGCAAAAGCCTCCAATGCATCTTCAAGTGAGCTATCTAGCAGCTTCGAAGATGGTGATGATGGTGAGTCCTATCAAGTGCATAGCAAGAAGGACAAGAAAAGAAAGGGCAAGAAGAATGATGACAACAAATATGCCACAGTATCCTTTAACTATTCTTCTATGTCTATGACTAACCATGATCGTAAGTCTTTCATCAATGTGCCTACGAGCAAGTTACCTCATTTTGATGGGACTAACTTTGCCAAGTGGGAGCACTTGATGAGAGCCTATCTTATAGGTCTTCATCCTGGCATTTGGGAGGTTATTTGCAATGGATTTAAGCCACCGATTGATCCCAAGAATCCAACCATGGAAGAAATGAGAATCATCCACCTCAACGGTCAAGCTACTAGTGTGCTACTTAGTGCCTTGGATGGTGATGAGTACAATAGAGTGATTGGTGTGGATGTTGCCAAGCAAATTTGGGATACTTTGTATCTTGCACATGAAGGGGTTGACAAAGTGAGAAAGGCAAGAATTGATTTATTGATGTTCAAGCTCAACTGATTTGTTATCTTGGATAGAGATGGACCACAAGAGATGTTTGGTAGGTTGATGACAATGGTGGGCAAGATTAGAGGCTATGGTTGTGATGAGCTAGATGATCATAAAGTTGTCAAGATTATGTTGGAAGCTTATTTACCTAGAAATAAGACCGTAGTCACTCTAATTAGAGACAAGAAGAAGTTTAAGTACTTCACACAAAATGATGTTGTCGGTGCAGAAAGTGACCAACACGTAAATATTTATAGTTTTGCTGTACGTTGTGATCGGATGTGACCTAGCACTCAACGACACAAGGTTTATACTAGTTCAGGCAACATGCCCTACGTCCAGTTTGAGTCGGTCGGTGACTTTATTCCTGAGCCCAGGTGCTCAAAGTTTGTTGTG